ACGTTGTTTACGTACTCATACTACACTTGCTGCACTTCTTGTGCAGGATCTGAGACAGGTACTAGTGGAGGACCTATCATCACATACCCACGTCATCCAGAGGCATAGTGGTGAGCTGCCTTTCTGAGCCGTTCTGCAGCTACCAGTGTCTCTTTTGATATTTTTATTCTGTCTATTTTATTTCAGACAATATTTGGAGTTTTTGTATAATCTACTAGATGCTCATTCACTTGTGACACCAGGTCTTGGCACACACATTGGTAGAGTTTGGGTTTATATTTTTCTTGGTTTTAAATTTTATCAATGTATGCTTAATTTATTAGTTGGCTTGCCTAGCTGTAGTGTTGGGCGCCATCACGACCTACATGTGAAATTGGGTCGTGACACCCGGTACCAATGATCCGTCACGTACTGAGTTCCTGTATAAAAACATGGTCATCAAGAAATAAAACAGCGCATTTAAGTGATTTGGCTAAGCGACTAACAACTATGCAATTAAAAGGACTATTGGGAACATAAATGACTGAATCTAAAGGTAAGGAAGGAAAGTGAATTGCTTACGGATAGCCTTTTTTTGTTCACTCGGATTGAGATAATTTTTAAAACGGTAAGACAATAACATAAAGTCTAATAAATAAAGGGGGAAAAGAAATAAAAGGAAAAGAAGAAAAGGAAAAATAGGAGGTAAAGAATGGCATTGGATACTCAAACGAAAATTCTCACATCATTTCATGTAGTTAATTTTTTTGTTAAGTTTTGTATAAGTAATAATAAGAAAAAGAAAAAGATAAAAGAAGGAATAACAAGAAAAGCATAGTTTTTAACTCTTCCAATCTGGGAAAGAAGATCGATCAAGGAATAACGTCAAACTTGCATGCGTCATGACCTGTCAATACAAAATTACAAGCAATAATTAAATTGTGTTCTCAACATATTATATATTACAATTAATTATTATCTTTTATGCACTTCAAAAGAGTCGGTGTATATAATAACAACAATATATGTCTCGGTTCGAAATAAGATTGGAATCGACTATATGAATCCTCACGATCATAATTCTCCATTTAAATGCAAGTCTACCAACATCATATGGAATTAACCAAAGATTAAAATCTCGGACCTATAAGATTGAAATCCTAAGTTCGCGTCCGAGAAAATATACAAATACTTACTAAAGAGTAAGTTTTTGTATATTTTCTCGGACACGAACTTAAGATTTCAAGCTTATGGGTTCGAGATTTTAATCGTTTTCAGTTACTGAATTCTATTTTTAATTTATACATATTCAATAAATTTTTTAAGACAAGTACATGGTTCGAACCAAAATTACTGGATTCGGCCGAACCGCTCTCAGCACTCTAACTCTGCCCTTGTATTTTCTTCTAGCGTAAAAATCTCTAATAGGGCTAAAGAACTCCTAAAGATCATAGAGCCTAATCGAGAACATAGCTGATGTTGATTATATAGATCTTTTTATTCAATTATGCCCTATCTTTCTGTAAAGATATGGAAAAAGCTAGTTCGTAAAGGGAGTGCTGCCCAAGTCCAAGGAGACCAACGGCCCAGTCTTTAACCAATATGGAACTCTAACCCACTCTAACACCCCCTCGCATGTCCAGACACCAACTGGAGCGTGGACAATATATATCAAAGCACGGGAACGGATCTGGCTATGGTACCATGTAAAGATACGGTGCTTGGACCTAACTAAACCCCAAAAGTTACCTCGTGAGGAGAGACTGCCCAAGTCCATATGAGGAGATCACTAACTCATTCCCTAACCAATATGAGACTCTAACTCACTCTAACGCTTTCAAAAGAGTCTAGTGTATATTGTGCTAAATATAGCAGTTAGATTTCTTTTAAACTTACTTGGATCACGAGCAGTTAAAACAGCAGCAGAATTGAAGTAGCAACTTGCCCCTTTCTGCTTTGAGTTTTGGTAATAGCTATTGAATGCATAAGAAGCATGATCTCTAACAGTATTTGGGAGGTAACATGGCTGATTTTCTTGTATTTTGCTGCAATCTGCACCATTGCCACATGCCCAACTGACAGCCTGCAGCAGCTCATCATCTGGTGTCTGTTCATCAGCTATGCACCAATCATGAAACTGTCCCTCTAACCAAAATCATTAACGAAAAAGACAAATCCAATTAGGGCAACATTCATTTAAAGGAGGACAGTTGTGGTAGATTGACGATGAGTAAAATATAAAGAAGATTCATATAGCTTAACTCGAACTGATTTGTGATTATAGCGTAGTTGACTGATATAGAAAACCGCATTTTCTTTCTTCTTCTTTTTTTATACTCTTGAGTGGCACAGTCGGAAACAACCTCTTTACCTTCACAAGTGTTATCTGATTTATCATCGTTTACTAGCTTCCGTATGTCAACTGATTATTTCGATTTTAACAATAAGGCAGGGATAAGGTCTGCATACATACTACCCTCCTCGGACTCACTTGTATGAATACACCGGATATGTTGTTGGTGTTGTAGTACTCTTGAGTGGCACAGGACTATTAGATCCCATTGCCAAATCTTGAGAGGTAAAACAGGGCAATGGATCTGAATTCTTGGCTAAAATGAGACTTCTAAGTTCTGATCCATTAAATGATTGGTTTATGTGTCTAGATCTAGTCAAAACAAGTCAAGATAGAAAATTTCCTAGGTAAATAATTACATGTCAAATGGAAAGAAAAAGATCAAACTCTTACCAGATTTTAAGGGAACATTTGAGAAGAAGATCAAAACGACTAGAATCTTTATCAACCCAGATGACATTGATCTGTGCATCAATCTGTTATGGAAATCTCTGTTGCAATTGGAATTGGACATGCTCATAACAATATGACAGAGGAGAAAGTTTTTGAATCCTATGGTTTTGCAAATTATTCGAATCGGTCTACAATGACTTAAAATGTATGCAAATCATATTTCATATTGACTAGTTTGCCCTCATGTTTATTACATACCATTTGTTTTTTATATCAAGATATGCTATAAGATTCTTTGTACTCCACTTGGAAAATATATTTAGTTTAAAGGGTCAGAGTTGTCAATTGACTAAGAGATATGGGATTGTAGCATATAGTCTTTACAGCATCAAGATCACCGACTCGAGAAGAAAACATAAAGCTAAAAAGGTGGAAAATTCCCCTCTTTCTCTTCTAGTTGTGAGTTGTCTAGTGTAATGGATTGATTCTCCTTGAAGCATCTAACATAAACCTCACAAGCCATGACTTAGAGTAAGGCACATTTTTTAATTAAAATTAAGACGAATGGATCTGAATATACATTAAAATGTTATATTAAAATTTGAATATCAATGAATTAGGAAAGCTTATATTTCTCAACATGTGAATATATAAAAAATATCAAAGTTGAAATAACTGATTTATCTAATATTATATAAATAAAATAATAAAAGAATAGCGGTCAGAGGTGGTGATGGCTAATACTGATACTTGTGGTGATGATTGACGATAGCATTTGGTGGTAATGGTGGTTGTGGATTAGCTAGTGATGATAATATCCGATAGTAATGGTTAAAGATGGTGGTAGATGGCGGTAATTAATGTCGATGGATGATAATTGTGGTGGATGAAGGAGATACATAATAGTGATAGGCGATTAATAGCAGTGGTTCTAATAGTGGTGGTTCTGCTAATGATAGTTAGTGGTGATGATTGTAAATTAATGACTTGTAATGGTGACGACTGACTGTAGTGATTGACCGTAACAGTAATTGTGGTCTTGTGATTTATGGTAGTTGATAGTAATGGGCGAAGGTGGCGAGTAGCGGTGGGAGCGAATAGAATAGTAGTGAAATCTTTTCATTTCTGAAATCTTCAAATGAATAACATTTTAATAATATCAAAACTTTTTTATAGATCTTAATTATAACAAAGTGATAATTCAGAACTATTTAGACCGATTAAGTGATTATAAAAAAAATATACTTATTGATTAAGATTCGAATAATTAGTAAGTCATAAATTCAAATACACTGAAAAACTAAAATTTAAATGATTAAGATTAATATATGAGACCTTAAGATACATTTCCATTGGGTCCATGTAATTGGGCCGTCCAAATTGAGTATTGCAAGCCCATATTCCACCTTCAAGCCCAAAAATAAAATAAAAAAACGCTTCAGAAAAATCCCCTGCCGTTCTTCTTCGTTTTTTGGCTTGTCCACCCTCCCTCTTCCCTCTTCAAATTTTACAAAGATTTCAACTTTCTTTGTAAGTACCTCTTTTGGAGTTTTGGGTATTTGCTTATAAATTCTGTTGATTTTTTTAATCCAAAAACCATAGTAATGAATGGCAGCAAGAATTTCCATTAAACACTTAATCCCATTCACAACCCCTTCTCATTTCTCTGCCACAAAACCATCGCTATTCTCTTCATATTCAGCTTCTCATCACTCCAAAACTTTGGAATTTCTGGATTCTTGTCAAAGCTTACCTCAGCTCTTTCAAATCCAAGCTCATTTGATAATCACTGGTCTTTTACAAGTACAGAACCCTTCATTTTCTTGCAGATTTTTGAATCTCTGTACTCAACATTGTAATGTTGAATATACTGCTTTGGTATTTAAATGCATTGATTTTCCTGATACTTTTTCTGTTAATACTGTTATAAAAGCTTATGTTTGTAGTTCTGTGCCACATAATGCTGTTGTGTTCTATTTCCAAAGGCTTAAAAATGGGTTCTTGCCTAATAGTTTTACGTTCCCGCCCCTCATGAGTTCTTGTGCTAAGGCGGGTAATTTGGATTTGGGTCAGAAGTGTCATGGACAATTAATGAAAAATGGTGTTGATGGAGTTTTGCATGTTCAGAATTCTTTGGTGCATTTTTATAGTTGTTGTGGATTTATTGGTCTTGCTAGACAGGTGTTTGATGAAATGCCGCAGAGGGATGCTGTGTCTTGGAACAGCATTGTGAATGGATATGTGAAAGTGGGTGAATTAGTGGTTGCTAGGCAGTTGTTTGATGCAATGCCGGTGAGGAATTTAGTTGGGTGGAATGTCATGATGAACGGGTATTTGAATTTGAATAACCCTGGGAAGTGCCTAAAGTTGTTCCGAGAAATGGCACTGAGGGGATTGAACGGGAATGATGCGACTGTAGTTATTGTGCTTACTGCTTGTGCTCGGTCAGCTCGGATGAGAGAAGGAAAATCTGTTCACGGGTGTCTTATTAAGGTATCTAAAGATTTGAATTTGATTACTAGTACGACTTTAATCCATATGTATAGTAGATGCGGAAGAGCAGAAATTGCTCGTTTAATTTTTGATCAGATGTCGGTCAAGAACATAGTCTGCTGGAATGCAATGATTTTGGGGTATTGCATTCATGGGAACCCGAAAGATGGGCTTAGTCTGTATGCAGACTTGCTGAGTAGTAGATTACAAGGTACAGAAAAAGATCATGTTAAGAACATGAAGCAAGGTGATGGGGATCTTGTGCTTCCAGATGAAATCACATTTGTGGGTGTCTTATGCGCTTGTGCCCGTGAAGGACTGTTAGCAGAAGCAAGAACACACTTTGGCGACATGAGTGATTTGTTTGGTATAAAGCCCAATTTTGCACATTATTGGTGCATGGCTAATCTTCTGGCAGATGTTGGCCTAATGCCAGAGGCAATAAAAATACTGAAGGACATACCGGCGGAGAGCAATTTACCACTGGAATCCGCATTGTGGTCTGAATTACTTGGCTCAGCCCGCTTTGGAAGGGATGTAAGTTTAGGAGAACAAATTGCAAATAAGTTGATTGAGGAAGATCCCAAGAATTTTTGGCATTATTTGTTGCTTGTCAACATATATGCTGCAGCTGGTCGTTGGGATGAAGTAGCTCAGACAAAGAAGAGGATGAAGAAGAGAGGAATAGAAAGAACACCGGGTTGCAGTTTAAAAGACTTGAAGGAAATTGTTGACAACATGACAGAGACATAAACTGCAGGTATCTTTTTGTTAATCTAACTTGAGACATCTTTTGTATGCTAACAGTCTGATAGCTTTTCAGCATGATGTGCCTGAGTAGGACGATGCTGTATAATCAGCTTCCCCACTGTTATCACTTTTGCCCTATTATTATCGGTCCTTATTACTATTGTTAATGCAGTAATGAAGCTATTTTAAGNATCGCTCTTTATTACTATTGTTAACACAGCAATGAAGCTATTTTAAGAAAATCGCATGATGCTGTGCTTTGATGGTCACCTGATCTTATCAGAGTCACAGTTCTTGCCGCCAGTAGCTGGTTATTTTACCTATGGAATAGTCTTTGCTTTAAAGGAAAATCCTAGTTAGATGCATGACCTCACCCTATATGTTCAATCATATGATACATGTTCATAAAGTTTGTGTCCTACTTTCTGAGAATATATCAGCTGGGAACCTCGGAAACAGTCTCCCTGCCCTTCCAAGGTAGGGGTAAGGCTGCGTTCATCCTACCCTCCTCAGACCCCACTTGTGGGATTATACTGTGTGGTTGTTGTTGTATATCAGCTGGGAACCTAAAAGTGATACTGAAGATTGCGTGTGGGCATTCCTTTCACTGTTAAACTTACTTACTTGGGTTACTTCCTTCTTTTGTTTCCGTTGTTTGGTAAACTAATTTTTATTCATCACTTAAGACATTATCATCTATTTAGGTGAAATATGTAGATATTACTGGTTAATGGTGTTTCTTTATTGTGCAGGTATTGAAACCTTTTTTTTTGTGGTACATTTTCCAAGTCGCCAGTGTTTCTACGAACAGGCGCATATGTAAGTGGCCTCTTACATGATGTAAAATTTCGTGCTATTACTTTGTTGTAGTTTTGAATGGTAAAAGATTGAAAATTTGAGTGATATTTTACTCAATTGATTTGAGCAATTTTCTTCTCTATGTTCAATAAAAAAGAAGAAATTGATTGAATTAGTTACCCTTATCATATTTATATTTTGTAAGTGATTACTTGTCCATCTGAACCCAGTTTGAGTTGCTGTCCTCAAGTAAGAGGAAGAGCAAATATACTGTGTTTTGTGGTTAATTTAACTACTAACGCCTACTCTTTTGTCAAGTGTTGCATTTGTGCTGAAAGTTCCAATTTTGAGTTTGAGTAGACTTGGGGCAAGGACTTCCATATTACAGTCTGATATCATCAAAGTTACCTTTCTCTTTTTATTTTCATTTTTTAAACTGGAGGTAATCGAACAGAGCTAGGTATAAGCAGGCTTTTAACCATTTTAGCATCAGGAATTTGAGGAGCTAGCTTATGTTGTGTTGAATGCAACATTGAAGAACCGGTTAGACCCTCTTTTAGTCTTGCCTCCTTTTTTAATCACACCAATCCTGTTAAGTAAGTAACCACTACAAGATTAATGCTTTACTATTTCTCTAAGTTAATTCACCACAATCTTGGAAATTTTGTCCCAACTCTAAATGGGTATTCCCTATCTTAGAATTCAAATTCTTTGAGCATAATTAGATATCTTACTGCTATCTTCTTTGTTTGTACATACAGCTGTCTGTACTTCTTTGATACTTTGGGCGCTAACAATGAAGAACTTTAGAATAGAATGAGTGACATGCAGCTTCGGCGGAAGCTGTTGATGGATTTATGGCATAACTCCTCGAAACTGTCCTTCCATCAGAAGGAGCTTTGTAAAAGCTAAATATCATGGTAAAGACTTAAGAGTTATGATGGATAAGTACCTTCATGCATATGTTTTCAATATATTTGTTCTTATTTGAGATGTAATAAACTGTAGATTGTTTACCTTTGAGATCTCAGGATCCTGCTTACTATTCGTTTCTTCTCAGGGAGGCTTTACTGATGATTTCTTTACACATTTAATGTCTAGTGCTGTGCCCTTGTCTGAGAATGACTCAAAGTAGAGATATGTGGTGCTCATGGTATGCTTTACTGGTAAACTCCAACTCCCTGTTTGCATCTATTGATGATGTTTTTCTGTTATAACAATTTAAAACCGCGCTAGACATGTAGAGCTCATGATACTTCACGAAAAACCCCATCTTCCTATTATAACAATATTAAACTATAAAACTGCGTATAAAAAACAATATTCAACTAAAAGATGTGCTTTATGATCTCAAATCTTGACTTTTGTTTGTACAGTTAGCGAACGTGCAATTAATATTGAACTTCCCTGTTGCTGTATTGTACTTGGTTAATTTTTTATAGATTTATGATTCACAAATGATGCAGTTGTGTTTTGTTACGACATGCAGGTATGGAGGCTGGGAATGACCTCTGCACCCTCTCAATGCATGGAGTCCTAATAAACCAGAATTGGCGTGTTAGGGTATAATACTAAATAGTCATCATACATACTGGTAGATTGAAGCTTTTATAGTGGCAGTCACCTTGCTCTCTTTTTGACATTGAGAGGTTATAAAGCTTTCAAGATCCTGAGCTAGCGTGGGCAAGAAAACGCCATAGCAGGGATCTGGGCATTTCGGCTGCTACCACGTTCTTGTTGCTGCTGCTGATGAAACTTGCAGCTCCTCTTTAAGCTGCATAACATATTATTGCGCTGATTGTCCTTGCTTAGTTTGACAACAGAAGAGCAAAAGATGGGTCATTAATTTCTTTTAATAAGTCAGCAATGGGCCATTCATTTATAGTCTATTAGTGAGTTACACCCATGACTGATTATTGTTGTATCTTGATACATGAGGATCGCTCTGTGTTTATCTGCAATATTCTGCAAAGTTAATTCAGTGCATATAAATATCGCAAAGTTTACATTTCCATGTAAAAATCTGTCTTTGGATGGTGTGCTTACTGGGTATATTTTGAGTTTTGACAACTCAAAATGGGGTTAACCACTTCTTTCTTAGCAATGAAATCGCTCTAGTTGATTCTCTGAGAAACTTTTTTCCCCCTCATTTAGCCATGGTAATTTTACAACTATATAATATTTGCATTGATTTCAGTTTCTTTAACTTTAAATATATAAAATTTGCTTGTTCAAATGCATGAAACGATATAAAAGTTCAGTTTTTTTAATCTCATTTTGCCATGGTAATTTGCTTGTTAGAACAGAAAATTGTGGAACCTATAGTAAAATAAGAACAAATATGATTTTCAAATAGTAATTATGCTGGGGATAAATTGTGACAAAGAACGATCAAAATTTTAAAAAATAAAATAAGGGGAAGGGGACTACACGAGAGTGGCTAAAGTAGACATTACTAGTAATATTTTCCAGCATTCCTGATAACGATACAATTAAGAGGCATTTACTGATAAAGATATCCCAATAAAGTTATGAGGTACAGGGCATATGATTAAAAAACAATGAGACTAGAGATATAGTAACTTAATCCACAAAATACATTCGAATTATCTTTTTTGCAAATTTCAATTACTATGCTAGGGCCTACGGAACATTGGATGAACACACTTCATTTGAAATACTAAACGAAACCACCACGAAACACTTCAACTTCTTCAAAATAGCGATCCAATGAAATGCCTCATGTACAAATGGCAAAGGCTGCATACCTAACAACACAGTGCAAATGCCACGAGGATGTTCATCAATGCTTCTCCAGGAGCCACCTTTCAGCGTGAGAATTTCACTAGGTAATTTGCAACCACCTAAGCCATCCCGAATATGAAGGATCTTATACTCACCACTGGTTGAGTCATAACCCAATCCCAAACGAGAATCTCCCTCTGGTGGAAATTCTAGAGGGGGAAGTACTAACGATTCTCTTGTGGAGGGGTTCCACAGCAAAAGTATGGAGCTCTCATTATCCAAATTATCAGGAACCTCGATAACAACCAAGCCATCGCAATAACAATGGATTGTGCATCGCCATGGTTTAAGGTTTGAAGGGCAATCAAGTTTTTGTACCTTCTCAACCGGTTGAACTGATGATAAAGGAACACAATACATGGAAAATATGTTATCCTTAGGGCACATATGGTTAATAAGAAATTTTTGGGAATCTTGGTCATTCTTGGCATGATTGAGATGCTTCATCTTAAAGTAAGGCTCCAAGATCAATGTATTCCAAAATTTCGAAACGCATTTGAATCGAAGAAGAGACTGCACAGGTAGCCTACTGAGGATGTCCATAAGTACTTCCTCTTGGACGTGAGTTGCCGTGGCCTGTATTGGACAAAAAAGAGCAATCAGACAATTTGTTTCATTTTTGCTATCTACTAACTAATAATAAAGTTGAATATTTGAAGTGGAGAAAGTTGAAATTACTCCGCAATTGGCAGTGGCACCGAGTAAGAAATAGATGAGCGATGTACTTGAAGAATTTCACTCATGTTTGTTGGTGTCCAGTTTAACAAGATAACTCGGTTATGGCATAAAATTGGTGTGAAAATAAAAGGCATAAAGTTTTATGCCTTCACCGAGTTATCTTGTCAAACTGGACTCCACAAGATTGGTGTGAGAATAAAAGGCATAAATTTCTCATTGTTTTCTAGCGTGACATTATTAGTGTGACAAGGTGGGTTTCTCTGAGCAAACGAGCTCGGAATTGAGTTTCGATTGAAGGACTATGTTCGTATCATTATTTGTGACTCATAGGAACAAGAATCATCGAATTCAGAGTTCGTATGGTGGAGTTAGAGTTTTTTTAGTGAAAATAAATATTGCCGGTGCAGATGGTTCTGGTGTGCACCTTTAGCGACTCTCCAACCGCTTCTGTGGTACCGCATTTGCGGTTTACCCTCCGCTTCTATGGAAATCACTTAACGGACCAGATTCCGCATCTGTGGCCCACACTCGCATCTACGACTCCGCAGGTGCGGCCCATCTACCGCATATGCGGTTACTGACTATTCCTCTCAAATCCACTTCTGCAGCTCGCCTTCCGTACGTGTGGCACTGCACATGCGGTCTCATAGAGTTAAAAATGGTAGATTTTGATGTAATCATGGGTATGGACGGGTTGTCTTCCTGCTATGCCATGTTAGATTGTCATGCCAAGATAGTCAGGTTCCAATTTCCAAATGAAGAAGTCTTAGAGTGGAAGGGTAGTTCAGCATCGCTGGTAGGTAAGTTTATTTCAACCAAGAGTTTGTGAGTTCGAGGCACCCCAAGAGCAAGGTGTTGAGTTCTTGGAAGGAAGGATGCCGAGTGTCTATTAGAAACAACCTCTCTACCCTAGGTAAGAGGTAAGGTCTGCGTACACACTATTCTCCCCAGACCCCACTCGTAGAATTATATTACACACTACCCTCCCCAGACCCCACTTGTGGAATTAAAATATTATCTTTAATGTTGTTAATCATAACCTGGGAAAATGTCTATTTCCCAGCAAACAACAATTTAAAAACTCAATGGTAAGTAGGCAATACCACCCATAATTCAGAACTCGAACTCACCAGATCAACGTCCCTTCGATATGTGTCATCATTTGACGGCTCCACAATGTTCTTCCCAGATTTAATTTAAAAATTGTGGTTGGTTATAAAGCATAAAGTTAGGAGGTAGCTGGTGAAATAGTCGCAGAAGCAGAAAGAGATACTTTTGGAGATGTGATTGAACTTTTGGGTCGTATCTTCTCCATTGCTAATAATAATTTGATTGAAAAGATTAGTTTTTTTTTTTTGTATTTGCGACGGATTTCTTCTTCGCCTTTTGTATCTTTGGTGCAGAGCTATTATTTGCTAATTTTACCCTATTCCTCTTCTTCTTCTTCATCTTTCTTTGAATGTTAGGGCTTCTCCTATTGCTAACATTTGATTGAAAAGATTATTTTCAGTTCATGTTGGACAATAGGAATGGCAGGCGGTGCGGGGCGGGTTCTGTCTGAACCCGTGCAATTTAAATCCGCCCCGTCCCGCATAAGATTTAAACCCACATTCACCCACCCCGCACTCCACCCGCGTTCCCCCGCCCCGCCCTGCAATTTTTTTAATAATTTTTTTTTTCTGTTTTAGAAAGGTAAACTTAAATATGATTTTAGTAAAGACAACATAATGAAGAATAAGAACAGGGTCTCAATTTTCTTGGTTCTCTGGATCAACATAGTGAAGTGCAAAAACTGAAATAATGAAGCAGAAAAAAAGGAACAAAAATTTCATGTTCCTATCCATTTCTGGAAAATGTTCAATATACATGACAGTCCACTAAATATTCTTTTAGTGGTCTAGAAAATGTGATATAGTAATTTAATTGTGTAAATAAACATTTTTTAGTGGTCTAGAAAATATGACACAATAATATTCAAGAATGTGATTTAGCGATTAATGAAATCAATACAGTGAAAGAATAATCATAAAGTCTTTGGTTAAAAAATCTTAACAAAGTTTAAAAATTTGTGATGTTTTCTCATGAGCTGATTAAATAATAGTAGGCAAATTTAAAATAATGTAAAAGAAGAAAAAGAAGAAAAAGAAGTAAAAAAGAAAAGTGAAAACAAAAAAATAGGACGCCGTCGTTGATAATAGGTATAAGAAAGAAAAAAGATCTGAGGGTAATTAGGTAAAGTGACTATTAGTTCAAAAAATTAAATCCCGCCCCGCCCCGCGTTTTTTTTTTTTTAATTTAAAAATTGAACCCACCCGCACCGCAAACTCTCAAACCCGCACCGCCCCGCGAATGTTCAAACCCGCCCCGCACCCGTACCGCCCTATTACCATCCCTAGGTATGCTCCTACGATTGTTGCTGATATGAGTGATCGGGTACACCAGTTTGTTTGTGGTTTGGGGGACACTTGATAAATGAGTGCACTACAGCTTTACTAAACCAAGGAATGGATATTGCCGTATTCAAGCATATGCACAGGGTCTAGAGGATCGCAATAGGCAGCAACGAGCCAATGGAGAGCATGATAGAGGCCAGCAGAAGAGGGCGCGGTTCGCAGGTAACAGAGGAGAGATTCGAGGTGGATTTAGGCCACAGTTTCCTAGGCGTCCATCTTATCCGATAGCCAGTGCGCCACCACATCTTCAGGGACAACGACAGGATCAAACCACTTATTCTGGTCCAGGTCAGAGTTCACGGACCCCAAGTCCACATTTTAGAGGCGAGTTCAGCCAGATGAGGAGGGATATTCCAAAAACGGCTTTCCGAACTAGATATGGCCATTACAAATTCCTTGTGATGTCTTTCGGTCTTACTAATGCACCAACAGCTTTCATGGATTTGATGAATCGGGTTTTCAAGCCATTTCTAGATATATTTGTAATTGTTTTCATTGATGATATTCTGGTATATTCTCGATCAGAAGCAGAACATGAGGATCATTTGCGTGTGGTGTTGCAGACTTTGAAAAATCAGAAATTATATGCTAAATTCTCCAAATGTGAATTCTGGTTGAATTCAGTGGCTTTCCTTGGGCATATCATTTCCGATGAAGGTATTAAGGTAGATGGTCAGAAAATTGAAGCAGTACAAAATTGGCCTAGACCCACAACTCCCACGGAGGTTTGTAGTTTCTTGGGCTTAGCAGGTTACTATCAGAGATTTGTGGAGAACTTCTCTTCTATTGCTGCTCCCATGATAAAATTGACACACAAAGCCGTTAAGTTCCAATGGTCTGATGCATGTGAAGGAAGCTTTCATGAGTTGAAGAAACGCTTAACATCGACACCTGTTCTAGCACTTCCTGAGGGATTTGAAGGTTATGTGGTTTATTGTGATGCATCTAGGGTTGGATTGGGATGTGTTCTAATGCAACATGGAAAAGTTATTGCATATGCTTCGAGGCAGTTGCGGAAGCACGAATACAATTATCCGACTCATGATATTGAGTTAGCGGCTGTTATATTTGCCTTGAAAATATAGTGTCATTATCTTTATGGTGTTCATGTGGACATCTATACAGATCACAAAAGCTTACAATATATATTTAAGCAGAAAGAGTTGAACTTGAGACAAAGGAGGTGGCTTGAAATGCTGAAGGACTATGATGTGGATATTTTGTACCATCCGGGCAAAGCGAATGTGGTAGCTGATGCATTGAGTCGCAAATCCATGGGTAGCTTGAAGCATGTAGAAGCTGGGAAATTAGACATGACTAAGGAGATATATCAATTGGCTAACCTGAGGGTGCGACTACATGATACAAGTGACCAGGTTGTAGTAGTCCAAAATATTGCTAGGTCATCTCTGGTAGCTGAGGTAGAAATGCGTCAATTTGAGGATTCGAAGTTAGTCAAGATTAAAGAGAGCATCCCTTTTCAGAAGAAGCAGTTGTTCGAGCAATCTGATGATGGAATTCTAAAATATAAAGGCCGATGGTGTGTACCTAATGTTGGGGAGCTTCATAAGCAAATTATGACAGAGATGCACCAGTCTCAATACTCAGTTCATCCTGGTTCAACCAAAATGTATCATGATCTTCGTTAGCTATACTGGTGGAACGACATGAAGAGAGATATAGCCACATTTATGGCTCAATGACCCAACTGCCAGGAGGTTAAAGCTGAACACCAGAAACCTGGAGGACTTCTTCAAAATATTGAGATTCCATCTTGGAAATGGGAATCGATTAATATGGATTTCATTACAGGATTGCCCAATTCTTGCCGGAAGTTCGATTCTATTTGGGTCATTGTGGATAGGCTGACGAAATCAACTCACTTTCTTCTAGTTAGGACCACCTATTCAGCTGAAGACTATGCCAGATTGTATATCAAGGAAATAGTTCGGCTACATGGAGTTCCTCTTTCTATCATATCTGACACGTGCCCAATTTACAGCTAATTTTTGGAGGTTTTTTCAAGAAGGTTTGGGTACTCTTGTTAGCCTTAGTACAACATTTCATCCGCAGACCGACGGACAAGCCGAACGCACTATTCAGACGCTCGAAGATATGTTGCGAGCTTGTGTCTTAGACTTCAAGGGAAGTTGGGAAGATCATTTACCGCTTATTGCGTTTGCCTACAACAACAGTTATCACACTGGTATTCAGATGGCACCCTATGAGGCACTATATGGGAGGAAATGCAGATCTCCTATTGGCTAGTTTGATGTTGGCGAGACAAAGTTGCGAGGACCCGAATTGGTACAACAAGCTGTAGAAAAGGTAAAGTTGATCCAGGAAAGGTTGCGTACAGCTCAAAGCCGACAAAAATCATATTCAGAAACCGACGTCGAGACTTGGAATTTGATGTGGGAGATTGGGTATTCTAGAAAGTGTCGCCTATGAAGGGTGTAATGAGATTTGGCAAGAAGGGAAAACTTAGTCCTAGATATGTCGGGCCATATCAGATTATTCAGAGAATTGGGCGAGTAGCCTACAAACTTGACTTGCCACCGGAATTAAGCGCAATCCATCCGGTATTTCACATTTCCATGCTTCGCAAAATCTTAGGTGATCCTTCTTGCATTAGCCCTATTGAGGATATTCAAGTTACCGAGAACTTCTCATATGAAGAAACACCTGTTGCCATTCTTGACCGTCAAATCCGTAAGCTAAAGTTGTTGGTAAAATCTGAGAC